CTTCAGTTTTAAGTGTGTTGATTGAAAAGTATTTTCACACCAGCACATCGTGACTAATATTCCATGCAGTCATGTTCCCGCCTGCCACTTTCTGATGTGGTTTGTGTGCAGCTGCAGGAAGATGTTCATTTAACCCCAGTCAAGCACCTGACAATGTGAAGGAAAGGCTGCTGGTGCTCAGAGTGCTCTTCTAGAAAAAGAACTTTCTGGATAAAGATTGCACCTTAAGAGCTGTGTATTTTGGAGGGGCAGCCACAGGGGATAGAACCTGAGAGGAAATTGTCGGGACAGAACACAGGACAAATGCATGTCTGGCTGAGATCTTGAAGACTTTTACTAAATGTGGGGGGAAACACAAACACCTTCTTGCCTTATTGGCATTTTAGGAGGGACTGGAGAAGCTGGGAATGTCCAAACATCCTCTTACGAGATGTATTTGTTTTGTTATGGAATGTCAGCAGTGAGTCTCTAGAAACTTGATTCCAAGTTTAATGAACTTGTAATTGCATTTGCATGTTCTGCAACCAGGGAAAATGTGTCTAGCTGCAGTTTTCAGTCTCTTAGTCATTGAATTAACAATATGTGACCTCTGTTTCTGAGAGCTTAAGACACTCACATACCCATGATAGGAGTACTATAAAATCATGCCAGGTAAAAAGTGTGTATATATATATGTGTGCATGTGGTATACTTGTATATATATGGGCCCTGGTTTGTTTTCAGTGTGGTCTCTTGAAAAGAATTGGGCATTGGCCAGTGCTGACCTCAGTCTTTTTGTGGGCTAAATTAATGTCTTTATTCTGCTTGACAGTGTGGGCCAAGAAGAATTTTTAAATGAATGCAAGAATTTATGGTGTGCAAGATGTCTGACAGTATCCTCGGTTGTTTTTGTGTTTCATCAGTGTGGTGTTACAAATGGGCCTGTGTAATGCAGAGGAGACTCAGGGCTGACAATGTGAATGGTGTAGTAGGAGGGGCTGTGCTGGGTCCCTTTTAAGTGAGGAAATATCCATCTTGCAGTGTTGTTGGAAGTAATTATTAATCTGTTTTTACTTGACGAAATAAATGCCCGGTAGATGCCATTTCATGTTTAAATGTGAAGCTAAGGCATAAATTAGTGTCCTATTAATGATAATCCACAGAGGAGGCATGAAACAGAGACAGGCACAAATTCTGAATATCACTGGCTGTGCAAAAAAAGTGTGTCATGCTGGAGGGCGAGTTTTAGGCTTGTCCATTTTTATGATCTTATGCTTGTGAAAAAAAACCCTGAAGAAATGCCTGCATCTTTTTTGGTGTAGGAAGGGGAGAAAGATCCTGTCTTCTATTCTGGGCATGTCCAGCCTCAGGTTTGCTGCTTTGACAGGAGGAATGATTTTTGGAAAGAAATAACTTACGCATTAGGAGCTCTCACCCCTTTGTTGAGAACACATCTTTTTTTCTCAACTCCACATGGGGCAGAACCTCTTGCTTTGGAGAAAATTAGGACTCTGACATGACATGCTGGGTTCTGCCCTCTGCTTTGTTCTGTTGCTTCTTAACAGGCTTCAAGTCCAGTGTTGTAACTCTCCAGAACCTTTTCTGTACCGCTAAGCTGGGGGTGCTCGTAGCTTACTGAGTGGTGATGTTTGAAGGACAGATTGGTGGTGGTGAGGTTGTCAGGGGCTGGTGATAATGCTGCTTCACATCTGTCATATCTGATGGGTACAGCGTGGTAGGGAGTTGTCTGCAGCTCTGGTGGCCTGGCATCGTAGGAAGCTTGAAGCAACCAGAGCAGAAACAAGGGCTCAAATAAACACTCTCAGATGTTTGTAGGACCGTGAAGGACTACTGGCTCTGGGGTGTCTTGCTGGGCTTCCCAGAGAGCTTCACAATCTGGGATGGGCAAGAAGGCTGAGATTTGAATGTTTTTCAGATGAGAATGTGGCAGGGCTTTGTGTCAGGGATGTGGGAGTTGATGCAAACTGGGATGGAAATTTCAGAGAGGGCAAATCCACTCATTGACCCTCAAGGGTGTCTTAGACTGCCTTGGCTGTAGGCAAGGGACCAGACTCCACCTCAGCTCCCCTTTTCCAGATGCTTTTTATTGCTACTGTATGATGTATGAAATTAAATATATAGGAATGAGATAGATTCTTATGCGTGTTCCCTGCTCATTGTGGATTCCTGCAGGACAGTGTTAGTCTCTGTGGTGGGTAAATAGGGCTGACCCTCAGAATGTGAAGGCCCCATCTGAGTGCCAGAGGAATGGGACTGCACGCCAGCAGAGGTAAAAGCACAAGGTCTGGCACTGGAGGAGCTCACTTGGAGGGGGAGGAGGCAGGAAGGATGTGTGTACTTAGGCCTGCTTCAAGGAAAGCTGAGACATTGGCGATTTATCATAGGCATTAACATATAGTTGCCTCTTTTTTTAATAGTTAAAAAGACCAGGTTCAGACTGAATAAAAATTGACCTTTCCTCACAATTGCTCCACTTCAGTTCTCCCTGTCGTATCTAGGGCTGTGCAGCTGCTGTGGCCTCCCTCAGCAGGCAAACTTGGATGATAGGTGTAAGGAAACCGTAGGAAACGCTCACTTCAACCCTTTCTCTTTCTTGCCAGGTAGTTTTTTTTTTTGCTGTTGTGAATGTGTCCAAAGGTAGCTAAGTGCTTGGAGGCCACTCTGCATTTATTCTTCCTATAGCAGGTCAGCATCAGCTTCTCCCCTCGTTCCCCACCAGTAAGTGGATGTTGTTCATACTTACACAAGGAGCCTAAAAGTCAGCAGATGGAAATTATTGGAATGGAGAGAAAGGGGAGCCTTGGGGGTTTTTTGCTTGAAAGCTTGGTAGGTGCCAGCTTTGCTTCTTGCACAATGCTGTGAGGCCATGTGGAGAACCTGCCAGCAGAGGAGAACTTCAAAACCAGAGGAGGTTTCTGCCTGGGTCCCCGTGCTGCTCCATTTAATGAGGCGTGCTGGCTTTTGGCAGGTTTCCCACTGGCTGCCCCTCCAGGCCACTGTCTCTCATTAGGTAGGATGTTTTTGGGCACTGGGTTGAACTTGCTGGTTGGTGGTGGTCTGCTTTTTACACACTCCTCTTTACAGAGCTAGTGCCAAGTTACTAAATTATTAAGCTGGGGTTTTAATAGAAACCCCTGTGTAGGCTTAAATTGTTTCCACTCTATTTGGAGTTTCCTGCTCTGCTGGTTTTTATTTTGTCCTGTGCATGAAGGCATGGAGGAGGGAATTCACAGGAAAACGCAGAGGCAAAAAGGAAGAATTCAGCCTGAGAGCAGTAGAAAGTGCAGGTGAAATAAAAGGTCATTTGGTACTGTATGCAGCTCTGATGGAGGTGATGAGAGGCAAAATGCCCCCTAATCCTGTGACAGTTCAGCAGAAACTTGTGTGCTTGTTTTCAGTGCTGTTTGTAACTTAGGTTTCTCAATAAAATTTTTTTTTGCTGGATAATTTTTGACTTGACCTCTTCCCCAGGACTTGAAAGGGACATTTGTCAGCACATACAGCTCCAGCAGTTTATCCCCAGTGTCAAATCCTGTTGCCACCAGTGGGGTGGCAGAGTTCTCTCTGCTGGGCCCTCCCTCCTCAGCAGGGCCTTCCAGTGTGGCACCATTTCCACCCAGTTCTCCCTTGCTGCAGGCTTTCCCCTGCAGACCCACAGCACTGGACACGGGGTCAGGACTGCACCTGTAAGTCAGGTCAGGTCGGCACCTTCTGTTTTCTTGGCAATGTGTGTTGTCCCTGGTGACAGCTATGGTCACGGTCCTCAGATGGTCTGACTCTGTCCCACAGTTCAGGAGAGGGATGTTGTTTGAACTTGTGCTTCTTGGTAGACCAGGAGTTCTCAGCATCGATTCCCTGAGGCTGAGCAGGGGCCTCCATCCTTTAGGAGCAATTAGATGGGAAAGGTTTGGGAAAACAGTGGTAAGAGGTGGCAGTAGGCTAAAATTACTCAGTGTATGCTCTCTTCTGCCCTTCAGTCCCAGCCACCGTGGGCTTGTGCTGAGTCCCAAGCCAGGGGACTGCTTTCCACAGACATCCCAGTTGGACAAGCCAGTGCACTGGAGTCACTGGGGTTGTTAAGTACAGCTGCAGTGAGCCAAAGCAATTTCGAGTGTGCACTTGAGCGTTTGGAGCAACCCTGTTGTTACCGAGCTCTTGGAACATGTGGTACGTATCTCAGGATATGTAAAACAGCTTAAACCATCTGACTGGGCTTGTGTGTGAGGTACTGGCTGAATCCTGCCTGGAGATTGCAGGTCTGGCTGAACAGAAAAACTGTGAATTATAAAGGCTGCCTTCATCACTCAATGGCAGGAACAGCACTGCAGTTCCTGCCATTGTCATCATGCTTGAGCCGTGTTCGGGTACGGACTGTGTTTAATTGCATGGCTAATTTACTTAATGTCTCTCCTGGGGTCACTTATAACACTCTTATTTTTGGGTTTCAGGGAAATTAGGGACACTAGCAATCCATTGTGGTTCTCTCAAGGTGGGAGTTTTCCAGATGATGATGGTAATAACAGCTGTGGCTTAGTTGCAGAGTAACTTGGCTAAACTGAGAAAAATTAGCACTGGCAACTGTGGTAGAACTTAATGCTTGCAAATGAATGATCTCCAGTGAAAATATAGTTCAGGTATAGGCCGAGGCCACGGGTTTCCTGGGTTTGAATAACTTGGAGGATGTGTGTGTTGCTTTATTGTGAAATCCCTGGCAGTCCTGTTGGCTTTCAGTCCTGCAAATGAAGAATTTTCTGATTGGATATTTAGGTGTTTGGATGGAGAATGGAGGTCATCATATATCCTCCCTGGTATACAACTATGAAATCATCCCATTTCATGACAAACTGGTTATGTACCTTCCAAGGAGCTCCTCTGTACCTGTCTGTTACCTCCTGTTAAGTGGAGCATCCAAGGTGTTGTTTTTGGGAGGGACAGTGTGTGAAAGGTCTGCTGCAACAGTTGGCCTAATGAGCCTTGCTCTGCTTGTTGTTTCTACACAGATGGACCTCTCTGTGGAAACTCTTTACAGCCTCATGCAGGAGCGCCAGAAGAAGTACGCCAAGTATGCAGAGCAGATCCAGAAGGTCAACGAGATGTCTGCCATCCTGCGCCGGATCCAGATGGGCATCGACCAGACGGTGCCGCTGATGGAGCGGCTGAACAGCCTCCTGCCAGAGGGGGAGCGCCTGGAGCCCTTCTCCATGAAACCCGACCGGGAGCTGAGGTCGTAGCGCTCCGGCAGCTCCCCCTCCTCACCTTGCACGCTTCCAGCAGGCTGCACTGGCAGGTGTTTGGAGCGGGCAGCGCTGCTGCCGGCCTCTCTGCCAGGGCACCGCAGGGACAGCGGCGTCAGCTGCCGGAGCCGCACAGCCAGGAGTTCAGGAGCTCCCCGGAGGAGATGATTTACTGTTCTCTCATCTCCCTCCTCTTGCCCTCCTGTCTCCTTTGCCACTACACCCCTGTGCAGACACGTTTGTTTCATTGCTGTGACTAGCTGGGGTTTACAGAGGAGGAATTTCCTTTCATCTGATTTATTTTATTTTTTTTAACTAAAAAAATTCAAAGGGATATCAGGTGTGACGAACCCTCTAACGTTTTTTGTGCAGCTGGGGTTTAGACATTTAGACGGCTGGAAGGTATTTCTGAGACCGCCTGGCCTTGGAAATATGTGTTTTACAGATAAAAGTGTGGGAGCCAGGAACTGGCTTATTAAAATCTGACCATTATCATAATTAACATGGTTTACACGGCAGGGTTTTGGCATGTCCTTGAGGCTCCTGTTTTTATGGGCTCACTAATTTATGAGGCTGTAAAGGAGTAACTGTTCTAGATATGTACGTCTGTTAATGTAAAGCAAACTTTAGTGTTCCTCTCCCCCTTGCCCTGGCAATGTCCCCATGCCCCAGCTAGTGGCATTTCGTGTCCCTCTGACAGGCAACCTGCTCACTTTGTGTCCCAAAGTTGAACACAAGGTGTCTTTTTTTATTAGGACATTCGAGTTACCTTGGTGCTGTTTTTTTTTTAACCAGTGCAGCTGCTTCATCAAGTGTATGAGGGTGGAGAGGAGAGACACAAGAAGTTTTTTGGCTCTTTGTGTTGGTTTAGCTGCCCTTGTGCCAGGACCTGGTGGTGGCACACTGCTGAACGACTGAAACCACAGGGCCCTTCTCAGCCACCTGCTCCAAAGGCAACAGGATGTTCTTGCCTCCTCCCAGGCAAGCCAAAGCTGAAGAGCCAATGAGCCCCAAGGGTTGTTGTGTGTCAGGAGTGCAGTTCCAGCAGTGAGGACAGTCAGGGACAAGCCAGCTTCCAGTACAGCACAAGGTAGGGTCGCTTGCCAAAGGCAACTTGCTTCAATGTGTCATAATACTTAAGAGCATTTATTGAGCGAAAGGTTGTCTGAGCATTTGGAAGTAAGAGTGCAGTAGGTTTTTGATTGTAATAGTAATTGTCTGGTGGCAAAAAGCAACAGGCTGTTCTCTTGTTGCATTCCCAAAGGCCACGTAGCATCAATTTGCGTCATGCAGACTGCAGCCAACTTAGATGTGCATCTGAACCATGGTGGTGGATGGATCCCAGGGCCTGCTGAACACTATCTAGAAGCAGAGTCCTGTAGGAATGAAGCCCCCTGGAGTGATGCCCTGGGAAGTGGGACTTCCCAGGAACTGTGACTGTTTCAGGGAGGGCTGGGTTTTTAGCAAAGGCAGTAGGTCTCCTTGCCTGCTCCTCCCACCCCGGAGGTTTTACACAGTTACACATACATACACATATGCTGTGTGTTGCCCAGGATAAAACATCAGAATTACATCCTTCCTGCCATGTTTTGTGCTTGAATTGTTAAAAGCTTACATGAGACTTAACACAGGAAAAACTGCTTGTTGTGGCCATGCCCTTGTGGGTCCTTGTTGTCCATCATGGAATTTTTCTCTGCCTCCCACCATCAGACACACAAGAATATTGAGCTGTTTTAAATAGTGGCTGCAGCCATTTTTGTCCTCTTTGTCCAGATGATGCTGTCTGGATGTTTAAAATACGTGACATCCAGCTCTCTGCCAGATGGGATTGTGAATGTCCCACACCCTGGTGTGCTGGAAGCCTATGCCAATGGGAAGATACTGGATCTCAAGGCAGATGCTCTCTCCTGTAAGACACTTCTCTGAGGCTTGTAGACATTTGGCCTCAAGCCATTAAGTATCAGATCAAAGCATTTCTCCCTGCAGTGCTAATGAGGGCAAAGGAATAGTATTCCCAACTGAAGGCTGCAGGAGACAGCGCTGCAAATCAGTTCCTTCCTCATTTGCCAGAAAACACCAAGGCATTGGGCTGAGAATGGAAGAAAACCTTTGTTCCTAGGAAAACTGGTCTTTAGACTTGTGACTGTGCTGCTAGGCCTCACAGACAGAGCTTCTTGAACAGCAAGGGCAGGTTGTGGAAAGTGTAATAACTGAACTAGAAAGAAATTAGGGCTGAAATGTGAAGGCCAACCTTTTCCAATGCTCACATCATCACCTTCGTTCCACAGGTGATAGTCTCTCATATGTGTGCTGTAAGGAGCATGCACCCTTCTAACTGCCCTTGAACGATGGTTTACAGTTTTATTTAAAACATTGTCACTGCCTTCAGGAACTGTAAGTCTTTGGCCCTCTTGCTGAGGGGGAGGCGTGTTCTGCCACATCATCTCAAGCTGCTGTTTGCTGCTTGGCTGCTCCTTGTTGGCTTTGCTCCACATGCTGCTTTCAGCTTCAGCTCAGATGCAGGTGATGCTCAGGGTGAGGCTGATGCTTCCCTCCCAAGCTGTTTAGCAGGAGCTTGGAGATGTGACTGGAATCACCTTTCTGCTTATGAATTTCCTCTTCCAAGCCAAAGACTCGTGGAGGAGGCCTCAGGTATCTTTTGCGAATGTACCAGCTGTTACTTGTACCACAAATTTAGTGCTATGAACAAGGACTAATCTGGTGTGCTCCCCTGATACCAGACACTGCTTCCCTTTTCTGCTTTCTGGGGTGGTGTGTGGTCTGGGGTACAGGCTAAGTTTCTTGATACGTGATTTTTGGGAAAAGCTGGGGAGCAGGACAAGTCATTGGGGCTGTGGTTCCTCTTTGGCCTGAGCTGCTCTGGCTCTTCCCCTGACTCTGCTGATGCAACTCCCCCGTTGTGCTGCCACTGGTGCTCCTTGTGTCTCAGGCTGGTCACTGCGCTGCCCATGCAGAGCAGGTTTGCTTTGTTGTTTCCGTTGTTTTTGTCACTGAATGCATTGAAAGGGTGCTAAAGTGCCAACCTACCTGCAGGGCAATTCCTGTGAAGATCTGCTGAAGGGGAGAGAAAAGAGTTTTTGTTGTTTTTTTAAATTTATGTATTTTAAATTAAATATATTTAAATATACTTAAATATTTAAAGTGTGTTTTCCCCTCCTCCAAGCTTTTACACAGAGTAGAAATACAGGTTTTCACAGGCCTATTGGTTGCATGGGTCAGCCCCTCTCTCAGACCATGTGCCAGTAGTTTTCCGAGGTACTGCTGTAAATCTGTCCCTTCCCAAGCTGCCAGAGGGTATTTTGATTGCCAGCCTTGTGGCTGAGCACTCCGTGGTTTATGGGTGGTTACCCTGTTCAGCTTCTTACATGCTCCATGTTTCACAGCTCCAGCATTAAAACCTTTGGTGTGGCTCTTTTCCAAGTGTGTTGTTTCTCCAATTGCCGTAATGCTCATTCTTCATTCCCACTTCCCACCGGTGTCTGGGCAGTGCAGGCATATCTCAGCTTTACTTTGCACCCACTCTGTGCCATGGAGGTGGCTGATTTCAGCTGCCCTGGGGCTGCCTCCGCCCTGGGATTGAGAGGAAACATGTCCCCAGAATGAAAATAAATGCTGTTTTTCCCCCCCCAGTGCTGTCCCAGTTCTGGTTGGCACTGATGTCCAGTTTGAATACAAGATGTGAGCCACGATGCTTGGGACTTGGCATTGGGAAAGTGGAATGGTGATGAGCTCTCACCTGCACAGGTGATACTGAATGAAGAGGCAAATTTACATAGTTTCTTTTTGTTTAGCTGCTGTTTTGTTTTTTTGTTTTTTCTAATGGCCTGATGCCCCAGCCTCATCGTTGCCTGTAGTGTCATACTTTGGCTTTGTACAGCAGTGGAGCATGCTGAGGGTCCCTGGAAGCAGCAACTGAAATCCACTCCTCAAAGTGAGCAATCCTTTGCAGCAGGAAAACGCTCCAGAAGCGTTTGGCAGCATTTTACATGCCAGGAAAGCAGCCCCTTCCCAGAGGGCTGGGTGTTGCAGAAGGCAAGAAATAGCTCCCTTTTCTATTTATGGTGACTCTTATTTATTAATATTCTTGGAAGTGCAGAATCAGCTGAAGGCTTTACTGCAGAAACACTTCAGTTTGCCTCAGAGCAACCATTTGGACCTGAGGGCCAAGAAGTTCTTTGCAGGCAGGGTTCAAAGGGAAAGTGCTGTTGCCAGGCAAAGCTGATGTATTAAGAATACTCTTCTCCTTGAATTCTCAGTTGTGGATTTGTGAGTATATTTAATTGTGGTACTGTGTGTGTTACACTGTCTAAAAGTTCTAGAATAACTAGTTTTATCACAGATTAATAACAAATACAGACTAGCTAGGTGTATGGCTGGCTAATTAAGATGTCTGGCCAGGTAAGTTTGGTTGAATTGCAGTTATTTTTTGTATTTAAAAAGTAAGTCTTATTAGGACCTTAGTGCTGTCCCACTTGTTCCAGGCTTTTCATGCCCCCACTTTGTCGTAGAAGTCAGTTCATAACTTGTGCTGTGAGTCACAGCATATCGAGCACCTAGCTGATGAAGACAGTTAATAAAGACAGTAGTTCACCTAATTACCACATTTCTACTCTCTTAAACCTCCCCAGTCCCCTCAAAAGCGGGGCTACCTGATCCCTGCTAGTGGGAGGTTTGCTCTGTTTTCAGTTCACTTCATTCTAGGAATGTCACCGTGATGGTTACATCAGAAGCCCAGTGACCTCAGGGACCTCTTCCCAGTAATGTCAGGCAGTGAAATGAAAATGAAGTGTTGATGATAGGCATGAGGCAGATTGCAGTTGCTCTTGGGTTGTAGAAAGTAAGCACAGAAACTCACACACTTGTGCTCTGACTGATGGTTCGGTTTCTTTTAGAGAGGCTGAAGATTTTGCATTTCCCTTTCTGAGTCTCTGCTTTGAAATCCTCAAAAGAAAAGGCTTCTATTACTGCACCTGAGTTTGAAGATGCTGTTACATAAACTCGCAGCTTTCCCCTCCAAGGATACAACTGTGGCAGCCCTCTTTAATTCTAATCTGTGCTATATTTGGGTGAGCCATTCTCTGAAGCAGCAGTGGAGGGTCTGCTCCAATCTCAATGAGCAGAACTTGCTCTGAATGCTTCAAGATTGACAGCATCAGTCAAAACAAGTATTTAAACAAGTAATTAATTACATTATTCATCAAATAAGTAGTATGGGAGGGAGGCAAGAAAAAAGCATGGGATTCGTTCTGGGTAACTTCAATAATTTGGAATACTTGCTTCACCAAGACCAGCCCTGCTGCCCGAGGAACAGGTTACTCAACCTGGACTAGACAGTGGAAGGTGTTAATGCAGACAAGTGCCACTGCTGCTCATCAGTGGTGCAGAAGAAGGGGGATAATCAGGTACAGGTATGAGGCCTAAACGGTTACTGGTGCTGTAAAATCACCACTGCTTGTGGGAAGGGTCTAAAGTTTCTGGGGCCCTGTCATTCATGAACACACCTGCAGGCAAGGGCGTGCTCCATAAAGAACAAGGGCCCTGCTCTCCTGGCTGCTGGGGGGAGCAGGTCCTGCTGCAGGTAAAACACTCCACAACTCCTTCCTCAGCCTTCTGTATAAACAAGGTACCATTTCTGATTTTATTTCATCATAACATACAAGTAATGCTCATGACACAACAAGATGAGAAACTCACATCTATGAACCATTTCACCAGCTTGCCATACACCAAACATGCCAAGTATGCCACACACCAAATGCCACACGTAATATTCATATTGAACATGTACACATTTTTCCCTCTCACATTCTCCACTTTGCTTTCCAGACTTCTGCAAACCATTTCCAGTATTGTTCAAGGACAGGACTCTAGTTCAGGTATGAGCCAGGGCACCACCCTGTGCAGGACATGAGGTTAAGGCTTCCTCCTATGGGAACCTGTCCCCAATAAGTACTGAGCCTACACCTTGGATTCATCCGGAACACACTGGGAATCACGAGGAGCCACAGGACCAGATTTCAGTTCCTCAGAAGGCAATCAACCAAACCAACCCCAAACATACAAAGAAGGGGAGAACACAGATGTCTGAAGGAGCACAAAAGAGGAAGAATCTGTTTCTGCCTCAAGGGACTGATACGTGTTAACTCCCCTTAACTGGTTTAAATCAAAGCCACAGGCTTTTCCTGAAATGTGGCAGAGAGGAGCCCTGTTCAGCTGTTTACACAGGCAAATACACACGCAGCTGAAAATAGTTGTGATGTAATCACTTCCACTGGAGATGTAAACACAGACAAGTGGCAGCACGTTCAATGAACAGCCAGCACCTGACAGTGTCCAGGGTGATGTCAACCTCTCCCTTGCCCAGGCCCTTTGTCCAGCCTCTTGCACATGCAGCTCAAAGAGCCTCTGGGCTCAGTGACTCCTGGTGCCTCCTCTTTCTGTGCCTTTTGCACTTTTTAGGATCAAGTTAATCAATGCTGTAGCTTTCAGTGCTATTTTCAACGGTCCATTGTAGGAAATTAGTCACATCCTAGCCACAAAACAAAACAATGACAAAAATCTTCTGCACTTTTCAATATAGTAAAACCTGAGATTTGAGTCACAAACTAGCTAAACTTACAGTAAAAAAACCCCAAACATAACCCAAGCTGCTGACTTGAATTAGGGCTTCAGTTTGCTGCTGACTAATTTTTTTTTAAAGCTGTTGGCCGGGGTTAATTGTTTGCTACTACAATTTTCAGCTGCCTGCACTGAAATGGGACAAAACAGTACAGTTCCCCCTCAACGCATGTGCTCTGAGGGGTGCTGGGGAAGGCCCTGGGGGCAGGAAGGATGCAGCTTTACACAGTGGCTCTGGTACCACCCCTTGCTGACCATAAACCTCTAATGGCACACATAGCCCAAGGTGAGCAGCAGCCAAGCTGGGAGGGGAAGCAGCTGGGTCGCTGCCAAAAACAGGGAGAAGGGCTGTGCCTCATCTCCTGTGAAACCAGGGCTGTGGCACCTCCTCGAGCTGGAGGTGTCTGCCCTGGGGTGCTGAGGGTGAGGACCTGGTACAGCCTTGAGTGTCTGCAGTTCCACCCTGGAACTGCTCAGTTAAGGACAAAAGCCTACCCCAGCTCATTTTGACCTTAAAAAAACTCCCAAACATTTGAATTGTTTTTCAGCAATTGAATTGTTAATGGCAAGAAAAGTGTGTTGTGGCCGCTTGTCACTTCTCTTGCATGTAACTCTATCAACCTATCAACCACTTTTTTGTAGTTTAGAAACCAAAGCAGCTATCCCTCTCCCAGAAGCCAGCTTAGTATCAAAAATACAAATACTGTATCAAAAACTAGGGGAAACAGTCCTAAGTATGGTTCATTCATCTTCTTTTAAGAATTGCTGCTGAGCCAACTGAAACACTTGTGCGTAGACAGCTTTAAAAAAAAAAAAATCAAACGTGGCCAGTCAGTACTTGTTCACATTGCTTATGAACTGACTACCAGCATGTGGCAGCCATAAAGCCCTAGTTTATTTTGTGTATTTTTGAGGTACTGGGTTTTTTGTTTTGTTTTTTCTTTTTTTTTTTTCTCGGAAGCAGCTCTCTAGCGAATCACCTAAAGCCTATCCATTAGAACAATAGTTACACCAGTATTTACATTTGTCTGAACGGTGTGTTCAGACCAGCCTTGCTGTAACCGGTCCCTATGGCCTTTGGAATCGCTCCCAGTCTCCTTTTCTTACAGAAAAAAGGTTTCCCTCCAGAGGTTGGCTCAGTGTCAGGGCTAAGGTGCACTGGTGAAGACGTGGGTTATGGGGAGGGGAGAGCAAAACTAGTTCTGACAGGTAGGAGCGTGGTTCAGCGGAACCACAGAAAGGGTTTGACACCGAGAGAGCTCCCTTGTTAAAAGCCACTGAAAGGATGTGCAATCCCTTGCATAGAGTTGGTTCTTCTGACCGGGAAAGGTCTGTGAAATGTTCTGCCCTTCTCCCGGGGAGGAGAGTGGAAAGCCGAGCAGCACACTTGGTCTCCTCGGGCAGAGGCGGTGGTCACTTCCCTGCAGTACCAACCTTTCCCTGGCTCACAGCAAAGCCTCCGTTTCTTCCCTCCCCCACCATTTTACCCAAAGTTTCAGATTTACCGGCACCTCTCACACGCTGGGGGAGCGGCCTGTAAGGGGAAGCAGCTCTGCCACAGTCACACGAGCCTCCGCCCCTCAGGACACTTCAATGATTTCCATGCTGCCTGAAAAACTTGACTGGCTGCCCACTTTGCCCAGTTCCTCTCTGGATCTGTTGTCCGACAGGATGCTCTCCCCGAACTCCATCTGGCAGCTCCTGCGCTTGAACTGCTTCTCGAAGGAGCTCTCCTCGTGCCAGCTGCGCCGCGAGTCGCCGCGGTCGGCCTGGCGGGCCCGGCGGCGCACGGCGCTGGGCTGCTCGCAGCCCGAGGGCAGCTGGCTGCAGCTGTAGGCGGGGAAGGCCGCGCCGCCCCCGAACACCGCCGAGGCCGAGTAGAAATGCGAGGACTCGGCGGCGAAATACCAGCTGTTGGTGAGGGATGACGGCTGCGGGGCCAAGATGTCCGAGTGCCAGCCCTTGAGGCCCAGCCCCGCGGCGGACTTGGCCAGGTGCTGCTGGCTGGTGGAGAGCCCGAACACGAAGCCCGTTCTGCAGGTGTCCTCCACGCTGCCGCTGCGGTGCAGGGGGTACAGGAGGGGCCGAGGCGCGGCCGCGCTGCCGCCGGCCCGGCCCGCGGGTGGCCGTGAGGCCGGGCTGTCCAGCGGCCACGGGCCCGGGGCTTCCTGCGGCCGGGCCGCCTCCTCCTTGTCGGGGCTGCTCTCCGGGCTCTGCTCCGACACCTCCTGCACGGGGGAGAACTGGCACAGCTTGCTGCTGCCCTCCAGGGTGGCCGCGTGTTTGTAGTACTCCAGCGTGTCCTCGGAGGAGGCGAAGCCTTGCACCGATGCGGTCACGCAGCTGCTGCTCGCCGAGTAGGACACGGATTTGATATCCAAGGAAAAGGAGCGCTTCAGCCGGTTGCTGTCTTCCACCTTGTCCTGCAGGGAGACGTGCAGCCCGTTGATGCCCTGCAGCAGCGGGCCGTCCTCCAGTGGGGCCGGGTGCCCGCCGTCCGTGGCCTTGGGCTCCCGCAGCTCGGAGGCGGCGCAGAGGCAGAGCTGGCTGCCGGAGAGGCTGCTCGGGCCCCCCTCCAGCGCCGGCACCTGCTCGCTGCTCTTCTCCAGGTGCAGCAGCTTCAGCTTGCTGATGTGGCCGGGCTGAGCACTCTGGTTCTTGATCTTCTTCTCGAAGTCCAAAAGCTGGCCCAGGAAGTTGAAGTTGGGAGAAATGGTTGGTCGCTTTTCTTTCACAAATCTGGTAAGAGAGGATAAACAAACCAAGAATTATTTCAAGAGCCTGCTGCTCAGGTGTAAGATAACCCTGAACTGAGTGTTCTTCATGATGTTCACAAGTGAGTCAAGTGAGTAATTTTCCTTATTTACTTAATCGCTGGGATCTTTGCTACCTTGGTTTCTGACCAGAGTAAAGAACTGGAGTTTTGCACGCACAGCACTTAAGCTTTAGTCAAGAGACCACTTCCCATGTGCTACAGAGAGAAAACACCTTCCCCATTGACACAATTCCAGTGACATCACATGTTCCTGTCACCTCTCTCATGTCACTACTGCCTACCCTGTTTGTCATTGTCAGGCAAGACAGAGAGGCCCTGTACATTCTGACCTTGTCCAGCAAGTGCCAGTGATTTCTACTCCACGCTGTTATTGCCCACTTGATGGGATGCCAAAACTAGAAAGGTGCAAATACAGCATTAAACAAAAACCCTCTCTCAAGCCCTGCAGGTGTTCAGTAGTACAGGGAAACAAAATTGCCAAATCCTTGGAAGAGCTCACCTATTTCAGAGTGCTGTAGGAAGCAGCCTGGCTGGCACAGGTGTGCCAATCCACTCAGGCACTGCAAGTGCAATGGTAGTGAAAATGTTTTGCTGAACCAGGATGCTAAACGTGCAAAAGACTTGTATCACGTGATTTCTGTTATTTATTTCAAAGTTAAATATAAATACATATTTCCTACCTTTCTGATTTACAATACAGATAAATAAGTACTTCGCTTTTAACAGGCTGCAAAACAGAGTTGCCCAAATCCCTCCTCCTCCAGTTTTGGTTTTGGGTTTTTTTTTAAGAAACATTCCTGGAACTATGATTAACCAGATGACAAGAGAATTAACAAGGGAAGAAAAGCTAAATCTAGTACAAACACACATATAATATGTCACTGGGAAAATTAAATACTATTACAAATAAAACCTGTCTGGGGAAGTGTACAGAAGATGAGTGTGCAGTCATTAAAAGCAGTGTGAGAAAAATGGAAAGGTGTACTTGTGTATGTGTGTACATGCTAGAACATGAAAAATGTCAAAACTTGCATTTTTTTATTACTATTTTTTAAAATTTACCAGAGAACAAACAATACTATGAGTAGTCAAGCTGACACTATGACCTGGAATATCAGATTGCATAGGCTGATAGTGGAAATTTCCACCAAGAAGTGTAACACTGGAGTGTAAATGGAGAAATCTAGTGAGTCTCCTCAGGAGAAATTCTGTAGTTTGTGCTCTTAGCATTTGATGTGAAGATTTTTAGAATTTACTCCCAGGAATTCATAGTCTTTTGTTCATTTTTTTCCAGTCAAAGTTAGTTGTACTTGGGTTAGTTACATGAAGCAAGGTCCTTGCCTGTGTTCTGGTAGCCTCCCCAACACTCTGTTCTTTCCACTTTCTCCTCTCTCTCCAAAATATTGGGCACTCCCAAATTTAAAACTAGAATTTTTAAAAATGAAAAGAGTAGGGAAAGCATGCTGGATCCCCATTAAGTTTGAAAGCTTTGCAAGCTTTTTCATCTCAAAATATGCACTATTTTTTCCAATTGGAAAACATGTATAATGTTTAATTCTTATAAATTCTTATAAATAGTCCATTATACAAAAGATTTTAGAAGTTTATTTCTTCAAATTTGACTTCAAGTAATAGTATCACCTTTTTATTTTTGTAATAGTGTCAAACATTTTATCTAATGACTTCCACTAATTCAAAGAAAAGTATTTTTCGTTTAAGCTTGGCCAACAAGAGATCCCAAACCAATGAGTGAAGTGTTCTGCAGATGATTCTTCCTGAGCCATATCAAAGGAAATATGACAAAATATAATCTATATTTCACAGCAGTTGCTCACTGCTAAGAGAAAAGACTTAGTGGGATTAATCCTTCACACTCTGTTCATGCTTTTGCTTAAGATACAAACTAGAATTTAATGCAGAGATTTCATGGAGGAATTTAGAAGCTCCCTGAAGAAGTTCCTTGAAGTGTGTGTATTTTAGAATGATTTAGTTCTCTACAGCTCTGCCCTCAGCCACTACAGCCTGAGACCACGCAGGTTTTTTCACTGAGCTCACATCTTGCACAGCATCTATCCACATCCACTGTAATTCATGCCTGTTACCTGTACCTGAAAAACTGAGCTTTTAGCTTCTTAACCAAACCTGTTCCATGTTGAAATTCCTGCACAACACCAAACTACCAGCAGGCTCCAGTAAGGAAATGTGGGAAGTGTCCAAACATAGCAAGAGAGAGCTGTAGCTCAGGCACCTCTTACATGCAGTTCTTTCATTGCACACATGATATTCAACAGCTTAAAAGAAAAGTTTCAGTGGAAATCACGCTCCACATGGCAATATCCAGTGTTCATCTCTCTGTCCTCATCCCTGTTTTAGGGATGGTGGTAACAAACACACAGGTTATTCCTAAGGGGCTCCTCTTCCCCTGCTCCAGGGCAATTGCTCACATTGGTTCTGCACAACTTACAGTGATGCACCAGCTGTGCCAGGGAGCCCATCAAAAAGAAAATCATCATTTTCTGTACAACACAACAAAGGAGTTGGTTAAATTAAATACAGAAGTCATAGTAAATGGCAACCAAAACACCTGGCGGGTAGGAAAGTGTTCACAATCCAAGTAGAGGGAAAATGGGATCTGTAAAGGAGGAAAGAGAAGGGGGTCTCCACAAGTATTACCAAATGCCAAATGAAGTGGCACTTCAGAATACTTTTTCCCACAGTTTTTGGTTGACTTCAAGAGCAACAAAGAAGCTTTCTCAATTCCTAGGCATTTCACCTGCAGTTCCCTTTCACAGGCTGTTCTTTGTGAGCACTACCAGACACCAAACTGCAGGAGACAGATCTAGCCCAGCATTTGTCCTAAGTGTGGCTCTAAAACCCCTCAGTTCTTTCTTCAGCCCTGACCATTCTGCTGTCCCTGTGGCTCACAAGATGCTGTTACACCTGTGCTGTAGCTTTGTGTGTTTGTACACACAGCTGTGGTTCAGGAATGGTGCTCCTACCAAAACACCCCCAAACCATGCACTGCACCTCTACAGCAGGATGGAGAGGAGACTTGGAGGCACGAAAGGCAAAGATCATGGGCTGAGATAAGAACAATTCACTGGAAACAGTGATGAGATAAGAAAATGAAAGTAACAGTACCATAGGAATGACAGAGGGTATGAGACCCTGCCCCAGAAGGGAACCCTTCCCCTGCTCCCAGCAGTGACAGGAGGTGGCACAGAGTAACCTCCAGGTCCTGGCCATGCCTCTCCTGGCTACTGCAAAAATTAACCCCATCCGGGCCAGAAGCAGGACAAGACACATACATTGAATAGGCAGTTTACATTCCATGTATTTGTCTGCTTGGATCAAAGACCATTCTGCAGTAGGCAATTAATATTAGTTGTGTTATATCTATTCAATACCATTAATTTGTTTCTGGAGGAAATCTATGCTTAAACCAAATGCAGCCAGTGAACTACCAGATAAAATGTCTGCTTCTACCCTTGGTCATAGAACCTTTCAACATCCACCCTGAAAACAAGGCAACAGGCTCAAGAGTTATTAGGAAGGGAAGATTTGTCCCTACCTGTAAGCTTCATCCAAGGACATATCCATTCTTTTCATGATGTATGCAATGGCAATTGTGGCAGAGCGAGATATCCCAGCTAAACAGTGCACCAACACATGGCCATTGGATGCTTTTGCTTTTTCTACATGGCAAAAGAAATTGGCAATTGTCAAACTCAGCAGCATCATACCAGGATGAAAAGTTTGCAGAGAAAGCAGTGTTATTGAAAATTATTCAAAGCTTCCAAGTGAACTGCTAATGGCAAATCTCAAAGAAGCTTGAAACAAAACTCACTTATTTTCCCTAGCACTGTGTAGTAGCATTGAGTATAGAAAAAGCATGACTACACACAGGAAACATCCTGCAGTCACAGCATAGCTCATTTTAATGTGCACATAAACAGCCCTATTTAGATGTCTGGGAAAGGTGATTGTTTCTCATTCCATATACCAGTAAAAAGCAAGCATTCACGATGGAACAATTTGGCCAGTTCAAATCTGGCTAGTTCACTTCTCAAAGGTAAAGACAGAAGGTGTATTTCTAATTTCTAATTAATTTCTAATCCACTCTCTGCAGACAAACATCAGTCGTCTACCAGGCTGCCTGAAAGCAGCTCGGAAGTGTCTTTATTCGGTAATGCTGGAACATGCAGTGGCAGAATCTCCCCACTTTTTGCTCCTGTGCTTATGAAGTGATGCTGATGATGTCCATAGATCCTGGTATTTTCACACCACCCAGAAAGCACTCAGGGCTTCTCCAGCCAAAACAGCATGGCAGACACACAGAGCAACCAAACACTGTTTGAGAGAGAGAATTAAAATTTTCTACTTACCTATAAAATCAACTGATTTATCCAACCAAGGTAAAATTTTCTCACAAAAGCTGTCATTCACAGGCACTCTGAGGAAATGGGATTCTGGAATAAAATCAGGCTTTGGACAAGTATTGCTGGCGTTCAGGACATAGCCAATGTCATTCTGCTGCATCAGCTCCTAGGAAAGAGAGGAAGATTAAGCTTAGAGAAGTCAAATGGTACCTTTGGCACATTACAAAACCAAAGACCAAACTGAAATTTGTGTTGGAATTGCTCTAGCTGTGTAAGGGACAGTCTTCTAGGAAAAAGACAACTCCTCAGCTTTGAATTATTTTAACAGCTTTTGATGAGACATCCAGTGTGTCCAAGTAACATATGGACTGCAAATCCCATAATAGCAAAGTTAACAAAGAACAGAAGTAATGGTAGAATACCTTCTGCTACTCTGAAGCATCTCTTCCAAGAGAATTAACTTTTTGCTACTTTGGTTTAAATTCTCAGCATGCAAGCTGACAACAAACTTCCCACATGCAGTTGCTGACCTGAAAATGTGTTTTCCAGATCACATATCTAGGACTGAAACTGCCCCATCATAGATACTGGTGGGAAATAGGAAATTAAATGGATGCCTCATGCAATCACCTCTCAAGTCCAGGAGCTGCTTCTTTCTAAGGGAATGTGCAAAACTCTCTCAAAACCACAAGGAAAGAGATGAAGATCTTGAACTAAACCATTTCCACACAGCATTGAGTGGCATTTTACAGGAGTCCTGCTCTGTGATGTACAATTTCAGTTTTCAGTCTCTAGGCCTCTTATCTCTCAGAGAAATGTCACAGGAACAAGCAAAGACACTCAGTGTACATTTAGGAGTCAACTGAGTTTTAAATAAGTCAGTTTTCATGACTGAAATAGAAGAGAGGCACCTGTTTTCTGCATCTCACCATATGCATGGTGTTTAGAGTTCTGGAAAGGAGTTTGTGATGCAGTGGGCACCTTAGTGCAAAAACATATGGAAAAAGTACTGGAAAAGTAGAGATGGCTCTACCACAAACCATCCAGTCTCCTCCAAGGAAGCATACTGACACAGAAAAGCAATTTAGCATGTTAGAGTAATGCTTATCAAACTGCCATGGTTCACAGAGGATCTGGCAGTAAGTGACATTGAATACTAGGCTTGGACACTACTTACACTGAACATAGACATTGGGGAGCTTTTGGCCAGATTTCTGTGGAAACTCTTATCTCAAAATAAACATAAAAAAAACAAAAAAACCACCCTACCCCAAAAACTGGTTTTAATTATTTTGCTTTCATAGCAGATATATAATAAAATTTGTCAATCTATAGGAGCAGCAGCATGAAAGAACTCTCACACTGCTGACTTCAACTGCAGATCTACCAGTAGAAAAATAGTCACTAAGCCAAATGGTTGATTCTTCCCCAAACTCTTTCTGCAAGCATAGAGATCGTTTAGTGAGGAGAAACAGGGATGTGCTTATTTTGCAGAAGAGCCAGAACTCTATCTTGGTCAGACAGAGCAGTCTAGCTAATATGTGATGTTGAGCACAGGTACCCCACATGCATGGCACAGCATGTGTAGAAGGGATGAACACACACACAGGGATATCCTTGCATAAATGAAATGCTGAGTGAGAACCAAGAGCTGCAGGGGAGAAGGGAATCTACATTAGTCACTTGCAGAGGAAAGTGCACAAAGTCGAGCCAATAGTGGTTGTAAACAGGGAATTTGCATGAATTTCTGCTAGGGAGCTGATTTTTGTTGCCTGGAACAAAATGAGCTGCTCCTCCAACCTCTCATCCGAAGTCCTTCACATCAGCACATTCAGAGGCTGGAGGTGTGGGCACATTAAACCAATGGACATGCATTATGTCATGAACACACCCATCCAAGGGGTAAAGGAGATAGACAATTCCTTGCAAGGCAAATCATCAGAAATATTATTTGCAGCAATGGTCAAAATAAAAAAAGAAAGGAAGAAAGGAAAAGGTAAGTTCTCAGCCTTAGTGCTTCTTGCCTGGCTAATTTCCTGGGTCACACTCCCAGTATAGCTCAGCTTCCCATCGACAAATCCCAGTTTGCCCTTCTCCCTTCCCTCACATCCCCCTTGGAGCCGAAGCACCAAGCTCCCTCCAGCCCTGCATGCCTTCCACAGCTGCTGCTGCTGCACCTTCCTTGCCTGGATTTCACTATCACACACTGACATGCCTAAAAGCAGGGGCGCTCTAAGGGAATATTGGGAATTATCCAGAGGGGAGAGGTAGTGGGAATGGGATTCCTGGCACAGGGCACTAACTGGACTCCTGGTATCTTACGTGTGCCAGGGAGACCCCTGATCCCCAGCATCCCCACCTCCCTGTCCTGGACCACAGAGCTTTTCCCTTCCAGGATCCCAAAGCTCTTCAGCAGCAAATCCTGGGAAACAATTACTGACTTTAGGTCACCGAGCTGAAATACTGAGCCCAAACCAGCTCACTCCCTGTTGTCACTGCTTGAAGGTGAGTGAGGAGCAACTGGAATATCCAGGACAAAAGCACATGCAGGGTCCTGAATTCCCAGGCATGAAGAGGGAGAGTGGTGAAGGTCTCACTAACAAGTGGACTGCCATTGTCAGGTTTGTTAAGAACATAGCTTACAAGGTGGGGGGGGGTGATGAATTGGGAAGAATAGAAAACCTTATTATTTCTTTTAAAACATAAATGTTGATGGGCTGCACAGTCCAACCATCACCACTGCACAGTTAGGCCAGGTTTTTGATGTGGGATTGAGTATTCAAATGGAACAAGAAGGCTGCAGACGCCAAGTCCAAAATCTACAAGCCAAGAAAACCACCCCAAAATATTAGTGCTTGTCTTTGAGACTGAGGCTAAAGAAAGAAGTTATGCTTCCTTCTATTCTGAAAAATCAATCATTCCCACAGTGACATGCTCCAGTGTAATAACCATAACAGTGCCTTCATTGTGAGGCACCCAAGAGGAAAAAGTGAATTACGATGAGAGGAAGATCCAGAAATCCTAATACTAACAACTCCGTGAAAAGAAGGTAAATGCTCTTTTGTAAGCTTATTTACATTTTATGACTTGTTTAATCTGAAAATTAATAGCACCTTAAAATGTTATTTTGTTCCAGGAAATAAAATCCAAGTCTAGAAGAAAAGAATAGTTATGCAAGTGGGAAGGTAGAAAGTTTTACATTTTAAATGCTGGTGCAACCCATGAGGTGTAAGTAGGAAGCTCCTTCAGGCCCATAACCACACTACAGATTGCTTTCTGTCACACTGACTTTCAGAAAGGACACTACGTAGGCTAGAATGCAATTTTCCTCTCTTTTACAAAGAGCAAAGAAGATCTTCTGTCAAAGTAAATACTGTCTAGCAATGGCACCAATCTATCACAGGAAAATAACCACAATGTAGCACACTGAGACCCAAAACAAGCGGTCTTTTCTCTTAGAACTCTTAGGGGGTTTTTAGCATTTCAACACTGCAAAAAATATGAATGTTTTCAGAATTAAGCATTTAGAAAGAAATCTGCAAAAAATATTAAAATTCTCCTAAGACTTTCCCGAATGAATCATTAGTTTTGCTGAAGGACAAAACCCAAGCGTTTGTGGCTGCATATCTTTTCTAAATAAAGCCTTTCAGCAGAGGTATTAATGGTAAATAGCATTAGTATTCTGAAAAGGTCGTGAATACAGATTGTTCTGCAACAACAGAAGCATTTCCCTACTCAGGCACTTGGAGATAAGCTTTGAAGATTCTGAAAAGATAAGCTTATCTTGATAAAACCTGATGAAAATTGACATCTTTAATGCATCAGATTGAACAGTAATGCTGATTAGGAGTTTCTTGCAGATATTTTTGAGATGATTTAATTTCAGAGAAATTGGTCTGTCTAGTGAATGGAAGGAATCACGAGAACTTGCAGCACTTGAAGGCAAAAATAAGGTCATTATGCAACTACATCTTAAGTTCGCAGAATCTTATTAGAATTTTCCAGCAATTTGTTGGGTTTTTTGTTTTTTGTTTTTTTAAATCTAGATTTTAAAAGGAAAGAGCTATTTTAATCTTAGCAGAAAGACGACTTCCTGTCCCAAGTAGCCCCAGCAAGACCATTAAACCAGAGCATGCAAATGTAACCACTTACCAGCTCCTGGACTGTCCTAACAGAGACAGCACTTTGCTACTTGTCCCTGCTTTTTCGTTTCTGACCCTCTGCTTTCCAGTGTTCTTGACTTCCCAGATTTCTTGCCACATGTTTCTGGGCAATCAGTGTAGTCAGTCATTCTCCTTGCTCTCCCCAGTGCAGGATCCAGGCTTCCCAGAAGCCAGGCATGTTGCAGGAAGAGCAGCAGAGATCCATTATTCATATTTCTAATGTGCCAGTGTATGGCTACCACTAACTTTTAGTTAAATCCAGAAACTGATTAAACCCAGGAAACTGGGAGTTGCTGACATTGGGGAAAACATTAAGTGCCTTCTAAGAGGTAGAAATTATAATTTGTTCCCACAGCTTCTTAGTATTTTCTGGTATTAAAGATGGAAGCCATTTTGCATTTTCCATAGGCAAACATGGAATCTGAAGATGTAGGTAAGAGGTAGATAAGCCACTGGCACTCAGGTCTAGTTTAGTGCAGCCAACAAGTGACGTGCCCAAGGAAGAGGAAAAGCTACAAAAAATTAGTAATTTGAAATCAAAAGATTTGTATTTGTCTCCTAAAAATAGGTAAGAAATCTAAGAGGTCACCAATGGAAGAACTTCCAAAAAATTGACTGTCAGGAATGACACTAGGTGGTAAGAACTTCCTGAACACCTGAATAGGTGATGTGCTATCATTTGTGTGGTTCTCCATAGAGCATGGAAATACAGTAATCCTTGATTTTCAGTCCCAAGAACATGTGAACAAGTAAAATCTGACCAGCTCCTGGGGCTATTGCACTAATTCCAAAGTATCTGTGGCTGCAGGGTTTCCTTTGACACGTACTGAAGTGACACCAAGACTGCAGACACACTGACACATACAGCATAAAAACATTTAATACCTTTTCAACTGAAAGAGGGTTTTTGTAATTACTTAGCTCCTGCTGTCTTTTGTCTGAGGACCATAAATTACTTTTGTGGTAGGAAGAGTAATAAACTGCTTTGACATCCATCATAAGTGAATCACTGGATTGAATGCCTGACTTGCTACCTGGCAGTAAAGACAAAGGACAAAGTAGGTGCAATGATTGCTGACTATCCTCCATTTCTATGCTTTCTGCTAAAGTACAATTGCCTTCTACATGGTTGCTTGTGAGTCAAAAATCCCCTTTAAATGATTGTGAAAAATCAAAAAAATAGCTTATTAATGGCCAGACTGGGATGGAGCAAAAGTAGAAGAAACCACTGAAAATTAAAATGGTCAAAATACATAGATTTTATCCAGTTACAGGACTACTTATGATAGCTCCTGGCCTAAGGTTTGTACATGGATAAAAAACCATACACATAAGCCTTGCACATAATTAGGGCAATATTCTAGGGTGAAGCACTCCTTCCCTCTCCCCATCCATGTATTTAATGCCAGCTTATGAAGGCTATTGAGGATTCAACTAATGAACAGGACTGTCAGAGAGCATGGGAGGCAAGAGGGCACAGGCAGCACAAGAAATAAAAATTCCCTTTGAAGGGACCCAAGGTGCAGGTTGGAAGCAGTGTGAGCTGGCTCCTCATGGAGGCAAACATCTGTGGATATACACAGGAATAGAGACCCATGGCAATTTGAGACAAGCTCTCTTTAGACATCTGATAGTCCAGCATCCTTCAAGGGCAATATTTGATACCTTTGCCGACTATTTTCAGTAAATAATTTTTTGGTATTCTTTACAAGCAGAAATTACTAATTTTTAGTAATTTAAATTACTTAGAAACAGTAAAAGTTTCTTAATGCAGTATCACCATAAAAGCTCATTTTAAACAACCCCACTGATTTCAGAGGGTGCATGAAGATTTGTTTGCAGTAATCCCTTATTATATAATTAATGGTGTTTAAATGCTATTTTTTCCTAACACTTGAAGGAAATACCAAAACCAGACAATCTTCCTTTGTCCTGCTGTAACCATGAATATAATTGTGTCAACCTCTAAGACCTGCCAAAACAAGCTGGTCAGAGCTGTGATAGGAATGCACTTGACCTGCTGTCATGGCAGATGTGGTAGTTTGCTGTTGGTCCATAGGTTCCTGAGTAATTTACCATTTCATCTGCCCAGGATGAAGGAGAAAGATGCCCAAGTTTCATATTACATGATCCATAGATTAATTCCACAGTGTGTGGATCACTGCTTCTCCCACAGCTTTCCATGGGTTGTGCATTACCTGCATCCACTTGTGCTGTTTCAGAGCTGTAAGGATGCACCATGATGGAAGATCCCTGGTGCTCATTCCAGCGACCCACGTGGCACCCACAATGCTCACCTTGTTGAGGACATCTCGCTGACACCCAAGATAGAGATGAGGCAGGATTCTAGTTGGGCCAGTGTTGGAAACAGGTAGGCAGGGTTGAGAAATGCAAGTAGGGATGAGTGTGGATTTTCCTTCACAGAGACCAGGGAAAGAGCTGGAGAACTCAGCAAATCCACCTGTGAGAGGAAGAGCAGGTATTTAATCTACAAATGTGGTGATGCCTGTGCCAGTTCTGGGAGAGCAGCATTTAGCATGGGAGATGGGGAGGCACTGAGGGGCAGCAGGAAAACCTTGGCAGAGAAGCAGTACATGTGCCTTTTCCTTAGGTCGGTTTTGTGGTTCTCTAGTCAAAATGGGAAACACAGTAATCCTTGATTTTTTGCTCACTAGAATATGGGAAGAAATACAAACCTTTCTGTGGAACCATACATCAGCAGCCAAGGTCTGGCTATGTATTCCCATTCTGCCTGGAACATTTTTTCCTCTCCCTCCACTTCTCAGAAGTTTTTGATGCTTGTTCCCATTCTTAATATGTGGAAATGATTCTTCAGAAAAACAGGCACAGCACACATCACCCCATGAGTAGGCACACCTTATAGTCTCCACCCCAGCTAGATGCTTTCTAGACACTTCCTTCTCCCATATCAGGTTTGTACTGAGAGCTCATTAAGAAAATGTGATGTTTACTCCATTTGGTAAAAGCATTAATATGCATTTAGTAATGCTTACTTTTAAAATCCTATATTACTAATTGAAATCCTACAGTACTAATTAAAATCCTGCAGTACTGTTTTGTGTGGTGCTCTACAATTAATGTATTTCATCCAGGACACTGAAAGAAGTTTCATCTTTCAAAACCACACCAAGCCAAGGCTTCTCCATCTCTAGTGGGGGGGGTGAAGCAGAGGGAAGACTTACAAAGCACAGTGAAAATTCCCAGCTCTTTCCTCCCAGATAAGCAGAGTTTTAACTGAAGGAACAGTAATTATAACCTGTTCAGAATGGAGCACCTTTTTATCATCAAGGAATTGAAGCACTGACATGCTGAATCTGCCAAATGCTATGTTCACTATGATTACAGTTTGAAGATGCGAATTAAAATTACTCAGGAATAAGCTAATATAGTGTTTTGCCAGGGCTTGCATTACCATTGCCTGAATTATGCCTATTCTTTAGATTTTAAAATCTGTATCATTAGTAAATGTAGAAACACCAAGAAAATAACGTGTAACAACCCATTTTATCTAATAAAAAAAGCCAGCAAGCAGATTCTAAGAGCAAACGTTTTATGAACAGCAGTTCCTGCTCAGTCTCCTGAATAATTAAATAAATAGACAAATAAAATAACTTGACTATTTTGTTAGACAAGCTAAGGCACTGCCCATCAGGAGCACAGATCCTGCTTGTTCCACTGAATGAGAGGAAGAGTTTGCAAAACAATTCTCTCACATACTTGCTAAATTTTCTTCTGTATGGCTCAATGTTTTCCTTTCTGTTACAGGAAGCATTCCTTGAATTTATAGGCAGTATATACCTCTGAGATTGAATTTAAGCAGTTATTTGAGAGGGTGGTGAAGAAGTCAAATGTTTGCCTTGGTTTCATTTGCTTATCCTTTATTTGCTGGGAGCATTGTTGGCTGCTTTGTGGATCGTCTCACTGACATGGCTGGAAATAGAGAAGTCCTTACAAAGAAGCTGCACAAGCAAGGATTTTACATATGTGCTATCTTTGCAAAAGACTGCATGGGAAAAGTTCAGCAAAAAAGGTTTCTTCCCAGCTACCTAGGGATTGGCCCCATTTCTGTGTGAAACCTGTGACAAAAAGTTAGGCAGGAAGCTAATGTGCAAAACACCTTAGATTTTGTGGAGATGCAACCCATGCTCTGTCATTGTAAGTATAAGAAGCACTCTTTTACTTTATTTTTATGCCAGGACTCTATCAAGGCAAATTGAAATGATTCAAGATTAGATGCTTCAATACTTCCTCTAAGGCATTCATCCTTTCAAAATCATGTTTCTTCTTTTCTTCACATGCTTTCCTAGTAAGATGGTGCACATGTAAAGCAGGCAGTATAATATCAGACTTCAGAGATTTGAGAGTTTTGTGGGTGTAATTCATGTTGTAAAAGTACTGAAGCAACAAGTGAACTCTCCTTTCCTCTGAGTATATTTTAACCTGGTGTTAGTATCTGTACAGAACTGATTTGGGAAAGCACAAAACCAGTGATTTGTTTCAAATATTAAGCTGTCTTCCCTGCCATCCTCTATGACCAGGTTTTCAAAAGGTTAGTAGCTTTTCAATGAATCTGGCTTTGATTTATGTCACTTCCCAATATGAAAAACCCATTCTAGGTCAATGCATGTAGAAAAATTGTTTTAAAAGCCCACAAGCAAGCAAATCTCAAACCAAGAAAACATACTCACAGAAGCATCCTGCTTAAGTACCAATTTCTTTAAGTGCCACAGACTATCAGGGGTCTGGAACAACAGCATCCACATGAGCTGTCATGGCACTGAGACTCATTTCTGTTCAAAAGAACTGGACTCATCACTCTTTGCTTGCACTAACTTACAAAATATACGTATTTTTAAAATACACAGGGAAACGTATTTTAAAAAAAAACTCCTCAGCACCTAAAGATGTATAGAGAAAAGGGATTTATTTCAATTGTCTCTGTTTTCTAACACAGATGCTGGCTCCTCAGAGTCCCCAAAGCTGAACTCTATGACCAGTTTACATGAGGAGCCTCTTATGAGGAAAATGTTTTAAGCACTCATTCTGCCTGCACACTTCTGTTGTAAATGAAGCAGTTTTCAAAAAATAAATCTTAAACACTTGGAAAATTAATTTAGTCTACAGGTAGGAATGCAGAACAGAAAATTGAGCCTTAAAAGAAAAATGGGAAAGGTTTTGTTTCAAACTCTGTAATTTGGGGATGACCTTTGCAAGAAGGCAATTTTTTTTCTTTAAATCTAGTTACCTACCTCAGCTGAAACAGGGCCATTGCCAGCACTGTGCAGTTTGTTTTAATTAGAGAAAATACACTTTTCTTCTGGAGCTAGTTTCTAAATAACACCCATTCTCCTATCACTGTTCCAGCCTCATGTGAATCATAAATCAATTGCAAGAGCATGTTGAAACTATGGGGGGAAGGAAAGCAAAAATCCACAGATCATTAACAGAGCTACTGGGTTAATAGAGTTTTACTGAATTCTTTGATAAAAGTCACTAGGCCTTGGAAATAGATGACTGACAAATAACTCCAAAATATTCTCTCCTCAATAGCTCTGAACCACACAGGTTTTCTGTATTCCTAGTGGTAAGCTGAGCTGAAACAGCTCTCTTGACATTCAACAGGATGTCTCTACAAAACCATGTCAAGGTGCCAAAAGCTCTCTGGTTTTGCAGCCCTTGTGTGTGGCAGACAACCCAACACCTCCCAGTCCTTACAGCAAAGCCTCTACATCCATTAGCAGAAATCTGGCAAGATCCAGTAAACTACTTGATTGCCCTGTTGCTATGGTTCTGCAAAGTGGTGACTACAGACTTCCCTTTGATCAAAGCTTCCCTAAATACAGCTGGGATCATAAAGGTACGATCTCTAAGGGAATCTTGGTAGCAGAAGTGTCAGCTCCTTTCTCAGCCAACTCAGGAAACAAAACAGGGCCAAACCCAGAACGGATGAAAAAAAATTCAGCAGAATTCTGCGGTAAAAGTTATTCCTCCTTATGGATTCACTGCATAAGTCCTTATATAAACAGAAGCCCCAATTAACTTTACTAGAAACAGGAAGAGGCAGGGAAAGAATATGGGATCAGGAGGCAACAAATGATAGAGAAATATTGTTGATTTGGGAAGAGCTTCCTTTCACGGAGGGAATGGAATCCATCCAGATTCCTTATGATTACTTAGTTTAACTACCACTAAATACAAATCATAAATTAATCCACAGGAATGACTCCTGAGAAGCACCAGCAGTTGTAACTGCAGCTCATTTCTCTGTGTTCTGTGGAAACAGAGCAGGAGCATTCCAGTGCTGCCAGCTGCCCTGCTGCAATCAGGGACAGAGCTCTGCAAACCACTCTGCAGGGTTTCAAATGAAAGATCAGCTAAACCCAAAGGTCTTGAACACTTAGAATGAAATTGGGAAGTGCAGATCATATTTCATTGTTTTTATCCAATATTTAATAAAACCTTTCCAGTTAAATGACACCATAACAGGACAGGATGGTTCTTATTTTCATTCCATGTTACACTGGTTTCTTTTCTTCCTCCTGGTCTTTATATTTCCTTCAATGTGATGTCAAACCATTCAGAGATGTGACCATAATTAGACAAGGCAAATTCACAGGGAACATACTAATTCCTCATTTGGCCCAGATAAGAGCAAAAAGGTTAAATAGAAGCATCAGTTACTAAAAAATCTGTTTTCAAAATGCAAGCATCGTTCTTCATTCACATCACAGACCCCAGATGTTCCTTCATACATCCATCCTATCTCTCAACTTACATATATTTCTAACATGTGGGAAAAAAATTCAATTAGGAGGCAAGCCTAGTATCTCTTTATAGTTGGTCATAACATTACTGTTGAAACAGCCAATTCTGTAGTTCCTTTTCATCCTCAAGTGCCTGCAGAGATGTGCACCAGAATTTTTATCCTTAATCATCTAGTGAGAGCTGCTCTTGCTAATGGGGCATGTGCATATGACAAAGCACATAAAACAGCAGAGAGTGGACTGCTTCAGAGATAAGGTGGGTTAAGTTTGGGTGTGAAACTGAAGAGCAACAGCTGAGGTGCAACTCTGACTTTCTTCACAGCTCTTCAAGGAAAGGGAAGGATGAAGAGAGGGGACCTTACCCTTAGGTGTTACTTGTTTTTTCTGTGTAACTGTCCAAGTACAGAGAAAACTCCTACCAAGGTGAGAGCTCCATGCATACACAAATCCTAACAATTACAAATGGAGAAACAAGTTGACAGTACATTTGTGCCATGAGGATTTTGTACTATTTCTTTATCAATGCAGCCATGAAATCTAACTTGGAATGAAAGAAAGGTGAGAAAATAGGTGTTCACATTACTTCACATGTGTGCAGTGAGCCTGGCCAGCTACAGCTCGATGGATAACCCCAGCAGAGCCCCAGAGCTGGGCAGTGTGGCCAAGGCAGAGGGGA